AGGAGAAATTCTGATTGAGGTAACCAAGATGGCTGCGTTGAGTGCATGATTTTCTGCGGTGTTTAAAAACAACACCTAGCTGCCTACTTCGCCCACAGTCCCTCAAGGCACTGTGCTTCGATGTACTTTCTAAAATAATCGTTTATTTTTAATTAACCGGGGGTTCGAAATGTGTGCATTTTGTCACAGAAAAGTAAGATATCGGCAGCGGTAAATACCCGTAATTTCCCCGCAATGCCGTCAGCTGACAATGTTACGGTGGTCGTAGCGCCGGAGTCGTAGCGTTAGCCCCGACTTTAGTTTTGATACAGTGATAGAGGGACTGTGGTTTTCAGATGCCTTCGTAGAAAACAATGTTGCCATTATCGATTTAATACTTTCATCATATTTTGATAACTCGCAGTCTCACAGACTTTACAAACTTAACCAAAAAATGTGTTCTATGAATTTATGAACTGACATGGGCACAAAACTGACTTTACTTGTTGCGGACAAAATGTACCAGTTCGCTTAATGGATAAACATATTTTACTGACTATGCCAAATATATATAACGTGAGTAATTTATCCTAAGAAGCTGCTCATTAAAATTCTAGTGCATTTTTTCCCTGTTCTGTTTCAAACATTAATTCACCATATATATCACCATAGAGTGTGTCTATGGTATCACTTGATTCACATTTAATGACAAAATATAACAAACCGTCACGTCTGTAATCAATTCCAGATAAATTGAATAACAATAACAATTGTATTGACTTGTACCAAAATGTAAGTTGTGGGAAACTGATTATTATTACCAATCACAGAAATAAATAAATATAATTTTCATCACACTTATAAATGACATGATGTAAATAGATTTGTGAAACAAATGCAAGTTTGTTTTTTATTAGCATTTACATGTAAAAAACGCTGCTGTAATTCTTAACACTTCAAAATATAACACTCAGTATGAACATGGAGCTCCATAGTATACATCTTATTTTTGTTCCTACTGAAACCAAGCTGAAACAGTATTGTAAGAAAAACCTAGGTTTCCCTAGGTCTGTCTTCTTTGTTCTCTGTTGTTTGTTTTCAGTGGGGGCGTTAATGGGCAGTTAATCCAGAGGTTAGGTTCAAACCTACTACTAATTTGCATATTGTAGGTCTAGTAGGTCTGAATAGGGCAGGAAAGGGCAGGCCGGGTTAACCCAGGTTTGACTCAGGTGTTTGAATATGAGATCACCCCTTAATGCATTCTGGTAACACATTTAATGCATTCTGGTAACACATTTAATGCATTCCGGTAACACATTTAATGCATTCTGGTAACACATTTAATGCATTCCGGTAACACATTTAATGTATTCTGGTAAGACATTTAATGTATTCCGGTAACACATTTAATGTATTCTGGTAAGACATTTAATGTATTCTGGTAACACATTTAATGCATTCCGGTAACACATTTAATGTATTCTGGTAACACATTTAATGCATTCCAGTAACACATTTAATGCATTCCGGTAACACATTTAATGCATTCCGGTAACACATCTAATGCATTCTGGTAACACATCTAATGCATTCTGGTAAGACATTTAATGCATTCCGGTAACACATTTAATGTATTCCGGTAACACATTTAATGCATTCCGATAACACATTTAATGCATTCCGGTAACACATTTAATGTATTCTGGTAAGACATTTAATGCATTCCGGTAACACATTTAATGTATTCCAGTAACACATTTAATGTATTCCGGTAACACATTTAATGCATTCCGGTAACACATTTAATGCATTCCGGTAACACATTTAATGCATTCCGGTAACACATCTAATGCATTCTGGTAACACATTTAATGTATTCCGGTAACACATCTAATGCATTCTGGTAACACATTTAATGTATTCTGGTAAGACATTTAATGTATTCCGGCAACACATTTAATGCATTCCGGTAACACATTTAATGTATTCCGGTAACACATTTAATGCATTCCGGTAACACATTTAATGCATTCCGGTAACACATTTAATGCATTTCGGTAACACATTTAATGCATTCTTTGGGGATTGTTTATTGGAGACGAGGCTATGCTAACCACTCACACTTTTTTACAAACTGATAACACTAATCATATGTATAGTGCATGGACCTATGGTACACAAGATTACTAGTAACCATGGCGACATAGACATTACGTAATGACAAAACTTAATAGCGGGGCTAATAGGAAACATGTTACCAAGATACAAATGATGTGTTAATTTCTTTGAATTATGTTATGCAAGGTATATGACCTTCCAATTTGGAATAGATCAATCTATGATATTACCTGTCCAATTACAAGATTCTTTATATTATGACTGAGTTTCCAGTGTCCCAATTCATGTGCTAAAATTGCAAGTACTTCTTCATTACTGCATCCCAATTTCTTCTTTCCTTCAGCTTCTTCTTCAGTTTTCTGTTTTACTTCCACTTCCTATGAGAGAGTAATACACAAAATCCATTACTAGTACTGCCCATCAACAAGCAGTCTTGTACAATCCTGGAAGATAATCTCACTCAGCATGCTAATTATTATAGAATGGATTATTATCCTAGAATGGATGAACTACTTGAGTTTTCTCATTATTATGCAATATCTTGCAACTACTCAGCCTACTCATTATGAAAGTTCCTAGAATAGATGAACTACTCAGCTTGTTCATTATCATACAATTTCCTAGAATGAATGAACTACTCAGCTTGTTCATTATTATACAATATCCTAGAATTAGGCAGAGGGTTCTCCGAACCCGCCTATTCACATACCCACCATACCCTATTCACATACCCACCATAGACTCCGGTCAGTCAAAATGACTATTTTGAACTGTAGGCATTAATCAGCGATTCTGCCGGTGACGGAGAGATAGAATCTAGGTCAGGGGAAGCCCCATGACCCCAAGATTCTTTTACCCTTACGTCACGAACCCACGTGGCCGAGGCCACATGGCAGC